TCTGCAGCCGAAAAACAGGCAGGTGGCGTGTTACCGCTGCACATGCCAAAGGCACACGCTGAGCTCTGCTTTTGAGCGGCGGCAGATTTCGCCATGCGCTCTTGCAATCTGCTGGAATCCAAGTGGCATCGGCGGCATATAAGCAAACTAGCAAGCCTTGCCCCGAAGAGGCCGGGCAAGGGGCCCCTTTTGCAGCCATTCTCCACCCAAGCCAACAAGGACCCCCTCCTTCCTTCCCCCCCACCCCAAAAGTTAAGAGGCCTGCATGGACCTTGTAAGGGCCAGGGAGCAGGCCCAGGTGGTGGGTAAACTGGCCCGGAGACCCAAGGTGCCCTTTGGCCCCGGAGAAGAGAACAAGGCAGACCCCTAACCGCCGGCAGCCATTCATCGCTGGCTTGGAGTCGTCCCCTGGGGCAGTTCTGGGGCAGGGGGCTGACGAAGGTTTTTTTTTTATATTCTTTATTTACTACGCTCCCAGAGAAAGAGCCGGAAGCTGGAATCCTTCTGTGCTGGGAGTCCAGCCAAAGGGGAACCAGGATTTGTGCCCCGGGACCAGAGACAAGCCGGCATTCACAAAAGACAGAGTAACAGGGCCGGAAGCAGGGGTGAGATGCCATGGTTTTAACAGCGGGTTCTGTGGGTGTGGCTTAGTTGGTGGGCGTGGCTTGGTGGTCAGGTGACGGGGTGGGCGCGGCCAACTCGACGCCACTCACATCAAGGGGCGCTTCTCCTCGCCTGGCCTTTCATGACCGTGGGGACGCTGCGACGTTTGTAAGTGTGCAAAAATTGGTCGTAAGTCCCTTTTTTCAACGGTCGCCCGTTTTAGGCCGAAACTCAGAAAGGTTATGAATAAATAGAAGGAAAGGGAGTAATAAAGAGAAGTTCAGGATAAGATATGAAGATGAACGGATAAGGTAAATATATATACCGAACTGTGTTTGTATGGAAATGTGATAACTTGGAGTAATTCTATCTTTAAATAAGACGTTGTATTGGGTTTTTTTAGAAAAAGATTTCTTATGTCATCATATTTTATGTTTTGCTTGTTTGTATATTGTTTTGTAAACTTAATAAAATTTGCTTAAAGAAAAAAAAAAAAGGTTACGCAAACTCACGTTTGAATGTCAATCTTTCTAGCTAGCCAAGAAGCCTTGCTGAACGTCCCTCATCTTGGGTCCTTGTCATTCAAAGCTCCTTCCTAAAGGCAGCTCTGCTTCGTTATTCAATTATATTTCTTCAAAGCGCTAACTCCAACGGGGATGCCTTTCCTCCCAACAGCAGTGTAAAAAGCTTAAAACAACCCTTCCCCTTTAAGAAAGCGCCAGCAAAGAAAAACCCAAAAACTCTCCTTTGGAGACAGAAAGTCTGGGCAGTCTGCCAAGAATGCAAGAAGGGTGGAAAAAAAAACAAACCCAAAGGAGATTTCTTCCAAGGTTCTCCAAACTGCTTAGAAAGTTAACAGCCGGAGAACCTGTAGAATCCCACCCCTGGCTGGAAGGGACCTCGGAGGTCCTCTAGTCCCTAACCCTGATACCGGGGGCACGGCCTGTTCAAAACCGGGCCGTGGGAGAAATGGGCAGACAGGCACACGCGAAGTCCCACTTGCGCGAACGGAGGAGGGTGCGAAGTCCCGTCGGTGTGAACGGAGCCTCGCACGCACGTGAGCACAAAGGCCCGCCACTCACACGCCCGCCCCCTGCGCCAGGCCGCTGAGCTGAAAAGGGCTGGGGAACGCTGTTCTACTTCAACTCTCGGCTCAGGCAGGAGACCCTGTCATGCCACCATGGACAAAGGGCTGCCCATTTCTTCTTCCTTAGAGACCTCCGGAGTTGGAGCCCCAAGAACTCCTTGGAGGCGACTCCTGTTCCACCGATTATTCGTTCTCCCTGTCAGGAAATTCCTCCTGGGTGGTTTCTCCCCTTGATTCGTTTCCACCTGTTGCTTCTTGTCCGGCTCTTTCGTCTTTGGATCCACCCATCCCTACCTGCCATCTATCTATATCTCTACGATCTTCCCTCCTTCTCTCTTTATCTATCCTCCATCCATCTTTCTATTGGTCTGTCTAATCTGTCCATCATCCATCCATCCATCCATCCATCCATCCATCCATCCATCCATCCATCCATCCATCCATCCATCCATCCATCTATCTATCTATCTATCTATCTATCTATCTATCTATCTATCTATCTATCTTTTCTTAAGTTTTCACGGGTACTTACATGTATGGCATTCAGCTTTGTTCGGGTATTTTCCCACGTCTTTCCCACATTTTCCGTCTGTCTGTCTGTCTGTCTGTCTGCCTGCCTGCCTGCCTGCCTACCTATCTATCTATCATCTATCTATCTATCTATCTATCTATCTATCTATCTATCTATCTATCTATCTATCTATCTA